CTGGCTTTGAGGGTGTCCCCTCGGTGCCCCCCAACCCGTTCACGGATTTTGCAACCTCCGGAGGCGAGAAGGGCCCGGTTATCTATGTCCGCAACGTAAGCCTCCTTTCGCGCTCAAGTGTCATTCGTGGACCCGTGTACTAATGTGTGGTGGTAATCATAGCTGCCCTGGTCCACCTGCAATGAAGATCTGGTCGACCTGTTCTCGACTATTGGAAAAGTAGATCGTGCAGAGATTCAGTACGAGCCCAATGGTCGCTCTCGCGGCACGGGTGTGGTCCAGTTTGACAACGCAGAGACGGCAGAAACTGCAATCGGTATGTTTTTTAAGCCGCATCTTCCAATGCAAGCACTGACGCTTGTACAGCCAAGTTCACCGGTTATCAATACGGTGGCCGTCCACTCGGTATCACTTTTGTCAAGTACATGAATGCGGGAGCTGGCCCCGGAGACGCCATGGAGGGTACCGAGCCCACTGGCGGTATCACGCAGGACCAGATCATGTAATAGTATCGTATTCTTTGCTCCTTTCGACGGACCGATGAGGTCGAAAAGTTTGCGATGTGATTACACCCCGGTCAAATGACTGCATGACCAAAGTATTCGTGTGGACGCGATGATGCTACTCTACCGCTTTTGATGCCTCTGTTTTTGTCTTGTTTGTTTTCTTCTCTGGTGATCTGGTTCTGTGGGACAAATCGGACCTTGATTCTGCTTACTTTATGTTCTTCTACGGGTGAGTTTGTGATTGACCATGGTCTGGCTTTGCTCTGTCTCCCACATCTTGGGTGGGGTTTCCACTAGAAGATTTCGGTTCTGGAGAGGCTCCTTACTTCATTTTCGAGTTGGCTTTGGTAGAAATTGCAATACCCGATCGTTTAATGTTACGCCAATGCCAATATTCTTGCCGTTCGCGGCATCAGTTCTTCCCTTTAACTGTTCTTATCAACTCGTATTCTATCATCCGGTGTCTGCCATTATTATCCATTTCAAAGGGCACTGCTAGAATCTACGTAAGTGTATTACAAGGGCACCTATGGCAGAGAAAGTCCCGATCTATATACGCGCAAAGATATAAACTACGTACGCTAGTAGGTATGCAATAAGATCATGCAACAACAACAAGGCTATATATATAGTAAGACCATCACTTCCTTTTCCAATTACCGCATAGACTATGACAGACTCGGTTTCAGTTGCGTTACTCCATACCAGTGCTGATAGTCTGCAATACACAACTGTGGATCTCCGCTCCTAGATCAGTATATGTATATTTTCAAAGCCCTTGGAATATATAACATACATTCCCACCCTATTTTGTCTACAAACTAAACAATATCCAATCGTCCACTTCAAATATATATATATATATTTTAAAAAGACAAAATAGCCATAGATCTTCATCCCAACGTAATGATATTTCAGCATAACCTAAAGTTTTCTTTTAACTCATAACAACTCGTTGAACAAAGCGCAAAACAAACAGCCGATCTAGGAGCCCGATCGCGTAAAGCCAAAAGCAAAGCATTGCATTCGAAAGACCATCTCAGGGTCTTCGATAGGAAGAATAACAAAGTGAACTCGAACTCGAACTTAGGGTAAATCAACCAGGGAACCGAAAACGCCCCGGGGGGAATAACAAAAAGGGGGAATATAATATGATACAGACGAAGAGGAATTGATGGAACCTGAACCTGGAACCTGAAACTCAAGCGGGACGAGACAAAAAGGAAAATTCGAACAAAGGAAATGCATAACCATAACATAACCACGCACCCTGTCACCTGAGACCTATGAAACCCTGACCCACGCCCAAACTTTCGGATTGTGATCCTGTACCTGTTACCTGTACGCCTGCTTATCCGATCATGTGTCCGACCTTGGGTACTTGAACGCCAGAAATGATCATTCTTGTGTGTTTTCTTCGTGCATGGGAAAACTGAGTGACCGTTGAAAACAAAGGGAAGACATCACAACAAAGGAAACAAAGAAAAAGGAAATGAAAAAGACGCAGATCGAAACAAGGGAGTGAATGAGCATGTATGTCAGGAAACATACATGCTACTGGTCGGTACTTGCAAATATTTATAGAAGAATTGAAATGTGACAAGTGAGATCAATCCACTTGTCGGTGGAACCTGCCTTATTGGCCATCCAAGCACCTATGCGGGGACGTTGGCTGGTGGGTAGTGACCTGGAATCTTGAGGTCGAGGGTGGATACGCTGTTCTTGGTCGCAGCGGGGGGACGCTTCATGCCCTCGTTCGAGTGGGGGATACCCGGACTAGGAGTGTTGATGGGCACTGCCGTGGTTGATGAAGCTGTACGGACAGAGGGTGGCCCTTGTCCTTTGTTCCAGCTGTCAGTCATAGGCTCATCGGGTCCGTGTGATATCGATTCTGGCCTCTCATCTATCGAGGTTGGGACAGTGTTGAGAGTGTGATCTGTCACATTTGTAGTGGTAGGCGCAGTCGAGGTGCTTTCCCCCCGATTTCTCTGTCGTGACAGAGAGCTTTCACGAGAATTGGTTGCCCTCAATCCTGCAATCAAGTTGGGAGCCATATTCCCTCTCTCAAATCCAGCGGTATCCTGAGTGTTATCATAGATTTGCTGAGCCTGCACTTGTTTCTGATGGTCGGCCGTGTTCATCCAGCCGCCATAATAGCTGTCGTGTCTCTCAAAAGGTTGGCGCGTGATTTCACCCGCCTGGCTTGAAGGCTGCACCTGGTCTATATCCATATCACGTTCAGATATGGAGCGACGTGTGCCTTGGAGAGGGGATTTAGCGTCAGGGAGCGATCCGACGGCGGCCAACAGATCTCTCTCGCCGGAGCTCTCTCCACTTGATGGCGACAGTGGGGCCTGTAAATGGCGGTCTATCTGCACGTCACTGGGGAAACGGCCGCCGGGTTCACGCGGTTGAGATGCCGGGCGTCTTGGTTTAAAACCACTGATCCTGCCGAGTAGGGCGTGCGATCTGCTTCATCCTCATCCATAACCCTATCACTGCTGGTAGACGTCCGACCGAAACTTGCACCACTTACAGTGCGCACATGTTTCCTGACAAATGCATTCCTTGCTTCACCGGTCTTGGAGATTAGGCTTTCGACGTCTTCGTACCACGCCTTCATCGTCTCGTGCGACTCGGCACGGAAGACCCATGAGTGTCCCCGGTGCATCGTCCCCGTTTGCCGCCCTTTCAACATGAACTTGTGAGATGAGGAGTCCGGCTGCGAATGCGAACCAAGCTTTTGCTCCGGGAGATACAGCGACATCACTGGTGTCTGCCAGGCCACTCGATCGGCGGACTTGAACTCGTGAAGATGAGTCGGAGACAAAACATACCTGTATCATGTTAGTGACAAGAGTAACGCCGAGAAGGAGATGATAGAACCCACCAGCCAGGCGTGTAGCTCTTGAGATATTTGCTCTTACGTTCGAGCATACCGGATCTGACCTCTGCAGCGGCCGGATGGTCTTTACCAGGGTAGGAGATATTCTCCACGTCCCGAAGGGGGACTCGTGGATCGACTAACTCGTCGGTCTCTGCGATGAACGAGTTCCATTCGTGGTCGTGTGGCATCGAGATGGGCCCTGCCCGAAGCTTCTCCGCGGCATCGTACGCCTCGTCGGCTTCCCGTGTAAGGATGTTGGCGTAAGTTTTGTATGCCTTCTGAATTTCGCTAACCACGATGGATTCCAATTCGCGACCAGAGTTTTCCAAGTTCAAAAACGCCTGCATCACGAGTTAGCAAATGTCAAGGTGACCCATGATGTGAGGTCCCATACTCTGTGCAAATAGTTTTCTTCTTCGATCTGCTTTTCAATCTGCTTGTCGACACCCAAACGGATGATAAACGGGTCTCCCTTTCCCGCTGTGGCTGCGGAATCCGTGTCGACCAGGCCTAGGGCTTCGTGCAAATGGCGGACGGATTTGCGTGTGGCGTCAACTTCCTTATCAATCGAGTTTCGAAAATCGCCCGAAAGACTCCTGATCTCCTTGGTTTTCTTTTGAAGGTCGTTTCGGAGTCCCATTAGCTGAGCGACCAACTCGTTTTCTACCTCAGCAGCCTTGCTCGCTTCTTGATACGCCTGTTTATGGAAATTCCGCAGAATATCGGTCGCATCTGCCAGGCCGCCGGATTTGAGAAAGGTGGGGGGCAACGCTGTATTGTTGATAACAGTTGATGCCGACATGAATAGTTTGGATCGAGTTTCGTAGGATTTCTGGAGTTCTTTGAAGAACACAATGAGATCCTTTAGGACCTTACGCCAAGCTGATGTATGTCAGAAACACAGATTCCTGTGTACAAAGGGTACACAGCTGCGCTGTGCTACAAGAAAAGCCATACCTTGAAAGCGATCTGCTAAAACTTCCGTCGGGTTCCCATTCGTAGGAACAGGGATGTAGAACGCGCTATTGTGATCTTCGGCGCCGTCGACGCTATACTTCTCCTTGTCGCCTAAGATAGGCTCCTCACACTTCCGGCGCGCAGGCTTCTCTTACTCCCGCTGCGTCGCATACTGCCTCTCTTGCTAAGGGAGGACTTCTTTTTCAAAGTCCCGGATCGCGTGGGTGTCGCAGAACGGGAGTTGGACATCTGAGATGCGGAGCGCTGTACGGCGGCGGATGATGGGCCCTCGAAAGCGACGGAACCACGTTGGCTGGCGACATCGAACTCCTCATGGAATCGACCGTTATGAGAGACCGAGGGCTCGGTAACAGCCCCAGAAGCAAAGTTGTAGCCGGAGTTGGAGGCTATAAAGGAGTTCGGTCTAGAGGCGGACCGCGATCCATAGCCCTGACCTGAGAATATGGGATTTGCGGGCTGTGAGATGGCGCCGTAAGGGTCCTGCAGCGGTGTCTGCGACCGGACCACTGTGGCCATGGTTGATAGGGTAGAAGAGGAGAAGGAGGGGGATTGGAGAGGGGGCGGCGGCGAATGGCTTTCGATAAGGCGAGCAATTGGGCGGTGCAAACCAGACCCGTGATTGAGAGTGTAGTGTGCCTAAAGTCCGACGGTTGGTCGATGCGGGCCGAGAATTTTGGTGAGAAGTATAACCAGAGACGTATGGGGAGGGATGTATGTATATGTATGTATGGAGTAGTGGTCAAGACAAATCGCTTTTCTAGAAGGCAAAAAGAAGGGGAATAGGAGAAAAGATCAACCAGAGAAAGTAAAAAAGAAACCCTATATGAGAACTGAGGAATTCAAAAAAAAAAAAAAAAAAAGGAGAGTGATAATTTTAAAAATCCAGATCGGGTAATGTCCCAATTCCCAAGATAAATCACCAGAAACGGTTTTCTGGAATTGGTTACCCAGCGAACGGGGGGTTTGGGACGTGACCTCCTTGAACTAAGGGCGCGAACTAAGAAGCGTCCAGAGGGTCTGGAGCGAACTGTTTGCGGGGGGTTCAAGGGAAAAGGTAACGACCTCCTAATCTTCGGCGATAGTGTCACTGTCGTCGTCCTGTCCGGCAGTAGTCACGGCCGATCCCTCATTAGAATGTGCCCCACCGGGTCGACTATTAAAGGATTCGGCGCTGGGATGGGATCAATAATCAGAATAGCCGTCTTTGGCCTGGAGGGAAACCCAGATCATGCGATATTTGAGTTGTGGTGGTCAAGGAGAAAAAGTACGATCGCAGCAATCAATCCTGAGCCAAATGCACCCAGCTGAGAGAGTGAGGGGTTATCTAAGTACTATCTGGTTAAAGTCTTGGACGGTTCCGGATGACGTCTACGCCCGGCGAAAAGACTTCAAGGCAGATGCGACGTTATGACGACCAAGAACTACGACTGGTTCCCCAAACAGTGGAAACGGAATCCCCGGACCCTAACCAATCTTCGGCGTGAGCAACGGACGAGCTTCACGAGGAATGATTGGAAAATGAAAAGAGGAGAAGAAGAAGGTCGAAGAGAGAGAATGGGGAGGGAGAGAGAGGCATCCATGGAATGGAAAGGTAATAATGACATACCGAGGTAGAAAATATTTTTCAATCTCCAGCAACGAAGGATGGCAGCTGAAGAGAGAGAGAATGTTGATAACAGAAAAATTCACAAGTATAGTAATGATGTTCCTTACCTAGGACGGTACTTAATTCTCTGTACCACTACTCGTAAGTAGTCTACTACCAATCTCTATTGTCTGGATCGAAGAGAACAAATAAAAGAAGAGTACGTACTCTGTGCCATGTACTCTGTATGGAGGAAATCCCTAACCACCTCTTTTAATCCTTGGACAATAGCAGGTCAAATAATAATGTTACCGACTCAGGCTTAGTGTGAGGTTGGTATACTAGCCGTACCCATGTCCACCCGTCAGTGTATCCTCCTTTTCTTTTTATTACTATGTATTCTATTTCTCTTAGTCGTAGAAAGCCTACCAGGCCAGAGAATGTTAGTTTGATTACCATTTCTATTATTAAAAATACCCTTGGGATTAAAAAAAAAAGCCGTTGCCTGTTCACCGGCAACGAACCATTTTTCTGCTTGGGTTGATTCAGGAGTATGCAGTAGTGTCAAGCCTATATTGATTTAATCAATATCCAACAAGACAGAAACCATTCTCAAGGCGAATAATTGCAGGATGTCGCGAACTAGTCCAAATGAAAATATCCAGCGTCATCGTCACCATCATCGGTTTCTCAAATCATTCGTTCCCCTGGGACCGAGTGGACAGTGGCTGGGTCAACACTTGAGAGGCTGACCTGTGGCGATGGTTCTCCCCCTTTAGCTCATATCAATCAATACGCCAATCAAACATCCCGATCCATATCTCAGTGGATCAAATTTAATCATACGGAGGAAATCATCATCGACTTTGCATCTTCCTAGCGTCTGCATTAATTGTTCCTCATGTCTTCGTTTGGTTCCTCTCCCACCCCTTTTCCGACCTTCCGTCCAGTGGCAATATCTCCACTCATTTCACCCCCTCTTATAGGTTACGAAAGAAAAAAAAGGAGATATTCGGGCCGTGCTCTTGACTTCCTCTCCGGGACGCGATGAGGCAGCAATTACAGTAGACTTCCAAGAAGTGAAAAGTAAAAAGGGAAAAAAAACCTTCTATTCGACGTCATGCACGGTTCATCGCTTTCCATGTCGATCAAAGCCGGAAGGTTTCCAGAAGACTGGTTCGGGCAGATTCCCGTTCATACTTACAGAAATACTCCTAATTGAATTTTTGATTTCCCATACCTGACTAAGTCGGAGGAGGAACTAACTAGCATAGTAAGTATACTATACAAAAGTACATCTTCTACTACCAATTGTATCGAAGCGAAGGATGATGCTCCACGTCCTCCCCCCTTTTTGCAATAGACAGTTTAGCACCTCCACCCACTCCCTTATTCAATGTTTACTTCTTTTCATGAGATCCCTCAGAAGGGCCTGGAGTTGTGAGAGACCTTGCAGATAGTTGGTGATTAGTCGATCCTGTCGTAAAACCTGCCGGTCTGATTCATGGAGCTACAGTACCCAGAATCGTACCACAGAAACCGCCGCCGCCGTCGCTGTATACACTCCCAAATCAATCATAGGGCAAAACTCTAGTAGTAGTTGCAGCAAAGGTTGTTTGTATACTGCCGTAGGGTTCCGGCGGCGAGTCAAGGAGGATGATATCAGATCCCCTGACTTTCCCCTGCATCAACCTTGCATCCCTTGGGCTTGCTTCAATTGATTGACAGCGTTCTGTCAGTTCCATAGATCATATGGATAGGGCGTTCCGGTTTTCCGTCGTCTCTTACATGATCCTTAGGTCAGCCTAATGCGGGTGGATACCTGAATATCAAGGCTGAAGTGATTTGATAAATCCGCCATGTGATTGGTCGGCCACGCTCCAGACTCCGTCATGGATGGATGTACCGTACGACCTTACATAGTGCCTCTATAAGCTTTGTTTCGATATTATGAAGCTTAACGATCTAGGGCCTGTAATCGCTTCAATGGTGAAACTTGCTTTTGCTCTATTTTAAGGCACGCCGTTGATCCTCCAAGCATGGGTTGATCCTTATCGCATAGTCTTGCAGATAGACCGCCGCTGGTATCTAACATCCCTCGCTGCTTCACTCTAAATATAATCGCAATGCACATTGAAGAATGACACGGCATACATAGCTCAGCATATAATGTGTTGGCTGTACGCAATTGGTCCCTTACGCTAGAAATGTAATCACGCCGCCACCCATGCTCTTACGTTCATGTTGGTCAAGTGATGGAAAGACATCAACACAGAAAACATGACCCATGAACAATGCAATCTCCAGTAAAGAATTTTGCCAAAGTTGCTAGCTAAATGTGTTCGACATATAAGGGTAATTTTACACAAGGATACTGGGAATCGGCAGATTGAAAAGAGACCTGGAAACCGAACTATATTCATGAAGCGGGAGCCTGGGATGTGGGGACCTCGATACCGTATGCTTCCTTGATTCTCTGTGCCCGTCTCTCGGCGTAGCCAGGACCATAGAGACCTATAGATCACATCAGCGATAATGTACCTTTCTATCAAAGCCATGGCACAATTGATTGACATACCTCGTCCCTCACCCAATTCGGCAAGGGTCTGCTCGCCCGAGGTTCTGTATGACTTCCGCAATTGCTCCCGACGCTCGAACTCATCAATATCGGCGTTCTTCTTGTAACCCCACAACGATCCGCCGGTGTATTCGAAAGCGCCCATGGCGGTTGCCAGTGCAGCACCATAACCGAGAAGGGCGGGGAAAGTCCGGGCTGCACAGCGGTTAGAATAACGTGATGCAATGGCAAATTGAGAGAAGATATGAACACGGACCTCGTAGACCCAGGATCGCACCAGAGAAGAAACCGCCCAATGCGACGTTCCAGTGATCCTCCTTCTCCCGCAGGTTGGCGGACGCCGTCTTCACGAACTCATAGGTACCTCCCATTGCCGCTGGATAACAGTTGTCAGTAAAGTCGAGCATAACACTGGCCGATTCCAATTGCATCCATACCGAAAACACCGATTGTGCTGCCGCTTCTCACGAAGACACCGAATGGCCCAACGTTCTTCCTGGTGAGGGTGTTCTGAACTGCCGAGGCGAAAAGACCCACTCCACCAGTGAGCATAGTGGTCTTCATTGTCGCCTGGATCGCATCCTTAGGATGGTAGCTGTGGTCTTCAGTTTGTCCAGCCATGGTGGCGGTTGAATCTGGAATGGGCTTCTGCTTGTAGTGGGCGAGTCGTTCCGACGGTTCGCTGGGATTTTGGGAAGTCGCGGTTTCTGCCATGCGGCACCGCCTTCCCCAGGCTCTCCTAGAGCTTCATGTTTAATGATGGGAGTACAGATGGCATTGCTTACCATACGACTTTGTCGGTCCCTTTCTGTGAGGTATCTAATTCTCGATCTATAATAACGGCTCCTTCTTTTGAAACGATCCCAAAAATCAACCCCGTCGGTGGTGGTGAATCCATCGTCCAAGTTGCCGCCCGCTTGCTCCAACTGCAGTGGGCTCCCCGCCAGCCCAGCTGCCAACGCTCTTTCTATTAGAATCGAATGATTTCTTGGCTTTCAGGTGATTAATCACAGCAGATCTACATCTAAGAGGAAGATAATAAAAACCATCTTTATGGAAATTTTTCTTTGAATAACTCTGGATCCCTCGGCTTGATCCCCGCCAACTGTGAGCTCAAACGAGCGTCCCCATGACGTCCTTTCAACGGTCAGGTAAGTAGCTTCGCCCGATGCGGGAGCGCATTGCTTTATTATGCACACGGTACTGATATGGACAAACCGACGACCAGGCAAGACTGCCCCCCGTCTTGTACAAGATATATACGAATATGATCCTGTTCACCCTCCAGCGACCGGCCGCAATCTGCTCGCGGACGTCCCGCCAGTGTTTCCTGAATACTACAATGGACCGCTAGAACACATCTCATCGGCTGCTTGCCGCCATAACTTTGTATCGAAGCCAGCACAGAGTTATGTCCCTCAGTCGGAACAAGGCAATACTGGGGCCCCTACAAAGGTGTCGGCCGTGTGCTTGAGGTGCCGCTATCATTTGCAGGTTGATGTGAGCTCTACGCCCGGTATTGGTCAACCTAGTGCGAGGTTTTCAGATCACGTCCACCATCTGGTATATAAGTCCGGAAAATACAGAGGCGGCGCTGCGCCAGAGGAGGTCAGCCCTAAGGGGCAGTTGCTGGAGACATTTCACTATGAATGTTCATATCTGTCTTGCTCCGTTGCAGTATCTGTGCGGTTCGCTTCACCTGTCCTCAATGATGAATGGGTGCGACTGTTGGTAGACCCCGAAGTGCTACGAGAGCGGGCGAACGAGGCGTTTGCAACCCATCCTGACCGTCTGGAAGGAGTTGCCCCGCCCGCGCCTCTCAATGTCTTGCTGAACTTGCGTACATATATCAGCAACGCTCTTCTTGATAGCCAACAGAGCAAGTCGATCTCAGCGGTTAATAAAAGATTCATGACGTGCTTTGGAGTTGAAGGGAAGCCCTGCAAAGACTTGCTAGCATTCCTGGGATTTAGCTTTAAGGTTTGTAAACTTGCACTGTACCGTGTGCTTGCAAGTTGCAATGTGGTTAATACTTTGACCAGAACGAAGGCTTTTGGGAGCCTCCGCGACCGAATCCGTGGGCAGAGTTCCCTTATCGCGACCAACAAAAAATATTTCTCGATGACGTTATACACGAACTTACAGCACTCATAGAACAGAGGCCAGTGGTAGAGAGGAAGGGCCACCAGCTAGAATTTAATCGTCAACCAGTCTTCAACGATCTCCTCTATGCATTGGAATCTTTGGACTGTAAGTGTATGCCAACAACTCATGCCATGGCATTCATGCTAATAATACTTAGACCCAAAGGCCTCACGACCAAGTGAATTTCAGATGGCTCCTCAACCGTCTGTCTCAACTGAGAATCACACCCTTGTGAACGAATGCTAATCATTCAACAGTTACTACGAAGACCTGGGCGTCGTTGAAGACATGGCGTCTTCATCAATCATAGAGGCCTTTAACCGACAAGTCTCGGTGGACCCTGCTAGGACTCCTGTCTACCTAAAGTGTCTAAAGTCAATTGGAATTCTCAGAGGAGGGGATGATGGTTCACTTATAGATCAGGCAGTCCAGGTAGCCTACTCCGAAGGGAAATACACCGAAGAGGACGTAGTTGATGCCTACAAATACTTTGGTCTAAGCCACGATGATCAGCGACTCACAGAAGACAGCATCATTGGGAAATTCTATGCTTATCTAGGTGCCACTACTGCTGTTCAGGAGACCGAGACCCGCAGACAGCTATGGAGGATAGGAGATAGCAGACGGAGTGAGCGGATCAAGGCAGCAGCGGAAGAAAGTGCGACTGAGTTGACCCAACCAGAAATGGCTCTCAATGAGATAACTAACGGCAATAGGGGTGTCAACTGCTGAACAGGCCCAGGTTTTCCTTGGCGTTAGCGCTGACACATCTGATGATTTTGTTATGGCAGTTTACACAGCTAAAGTATTTCTTTGATGCCTGAAACCTAGCTTTGAGCCTTTGTGCTGACTTCACTCAAGGTCAACGACAATCCATCTAGCCGGGACCTTGCTCGCCGTGCAGTCCAACTGCTAGCAGAGGAGCGAAAATCGGATGCCTTAAAGCATTTCCTCAACACAGGCGAAATGACTGCTGGTGAGATGGACGTTGCTGATGCCTATCGTCTCCTTCAGATACCCGACCGCACCGTGGATGAGGGGGCAATCATGGCAGCATACACGATTTGTGTAGACGAAGCTCCAGCACAAGCTGAAAACTACAATCAAGCGTTGCGGATTATCGCGAAAGATAAGAACAGCCCTCTGCTGAGCAATATGGTTTCTGGTTCCGCCACTAAACCTGACCGTAACCTGGCTGAATGGCCTGTCGGACTGCAGAATATTGGCAATACCTGCTACCTCAACAGTCTGTTGCAATTCTATTTTTCAATTCGTCCATACCGTGATATGGTCTTGGACTTTGAGAATTTCAAAATGGAGATAAATGAAGATATGGTGAGCCAAAAGCAGGTGGGGTCTCGCAGAGTGTCGAAAAGGGAGGTTGAACGGTCCCAACGGTGTAGGTGATGTTCTTAATTTATTGAGTATGCGTGTTCGATGTGAAAAGCTCACGACTATCTGCTCCAGTTCTCAGAGAATTGCGAACTCTCTTCAATGACATGATCACTGCCCCAGCAACTTACGTTATTCCCACCCAAGAGCTGGCACGGTTGACGCTGATCAGCCCTTCCAACGAAGCCGCTATCCGTCGCCGGTCGACGATATCTGGAATCAGACCTAGTGCTCTTGGTGAAATCAACGGTGTGCCGGTGATGGGACCTCTCGGGCCCCCACAGCAGACTACAGAAAGTGAAGCCAATGAGCTCATAGCTCCGGAGCCAGAGAAACCCCAACGCTCAACGACAAGCGATGTTGATAGCGAGGCAACCCTTGTTTCTGATGGCACTAGAATTGATGCCGTGGTCCCGCCTTCTAATGACAAGGAGCCCGAGCCCCTACGTGCAGATTTTCCGAAGACGGTCGCGCAGGGCGAATCAACCCCTGAAGCAGTTGAGTACCAACCATCCGACAAGCCGGCTTCTGCTGAGCAGAATGGGCAGAATGAGCCGTCTAGCCAGCCTCCTCCAGTTCCTCCACGGCCCGGTCCGCAACCTGATCCGCAGAGGCAACTTATAGAGGAAGTGGAGATTGGAGCTCAACAGGATGTGACAGAAGTAATCAACAATGTGCTGTTCCAGAGCCAATGTGCCATCAAGCCAATCTCTCTTGCTCCAGATGGTGAACAGCTCGATCAAGTGAAAGAGTGAGTTTCATTACCTATTTATCTCACGTTCTGGGCTGACCGATGCTGTCCTTTAATAGCTTGTTTTACGGTAAAGCCAAGTCCTACATCCAAACAACTGAAGGTGTGCGATCAAAGGAAGAATGGTGGTGTGATATTAAAATCGACGTCGCGACTGGATCACGAGATATCTATGCTGCCATTGACGGTGCTTTCGACGTCCAGAAAGTTAGCGTAGATAATTCGGTGGCGGAACAGTTCAGTGCAATCAGCAAGCTGCCGCCAGTTCTCCAAGTTCAGGTCCAGCGTGTCCAGTTCGATCCTGTCAAGAAACGCTCCTTCAAGTCAACCCACCATTTAGAATTGAAGGAAACTATCTACCTTGATCGGTATATGGACACCCAACAACCCGACATCTTGAATCGCCGTCGCCAGTGTTGGGAATGGAAAAATACGTTAAGAACACTCGAGGCTCGTCGAGCCGAGTTGCAACGCCAAAGTGTATGAACCCACCGAAGGATGGTTTTCCATCCACCGTGAATAGATGTGCTGACTCCTCACAGGAGGCTGATGGCCTAGACATACCGAGCTTATTCGATAATGCCAAGGATGTGCTAGAAGAGCTGAACTCTATGAAGGAGGACCCTGAGACCGCAGCAGACGCAGTTCCTATCAACCCAGAACTTATACCTGAGCTTAATCAACTTTCTCAGATAGCGAGGGCAGAGCTGAACTGTACGTGTCACACTATTCATCTTTCTCTGCTCTCATCTTTCCTAAGCTCCTATATTGTTTCGACATATGGCTTGGTTGTTGTGGAACATTTATACTCACATGATTTCTAGACATCGAGCAAGAGATCAAGGATTTACAAACTATGATCTCAAGCCAGTTTGCTGATTACAAACATTTGGCTTATCGTCTCTACGCTGTCTTCGTTCATCATGGCTCCGTTTCATTCGGGCACTACTACATTTACATTTGTGACTTTGAACGGAATGTTTGGCGGAAATATAACGACAACTATGTCACCGAAGTGCACGACCTGGATGAAATATTTACGAGCCAGGACCGCCAAAATCCCCCGACTCCGTACTTCCTAGTGTATGTCAACGCGACTATGAAGGACCGTCTAGTCAGTCCTCTTTGCAGGGAGATACTCGAGTCTCCTCCAGACGATCAGCCGAGTGTAGATGTGGCAAATGCTACTAACGCGGTTACTGCACCGACAACTGCAGAAGATGTGGATATGAACCCACCGGCGTACGATGAGATATGGGCTGACAAAGGCACATCAGGTACGGAAGATAACCACCATATAGAAGATAAAACGGGCCCCACAGGCGTGGGGGGCAACGGGGTCACTGGCAGAGGGCCCTCAAACAAAGACACTGACTTCCATGATGTGCAATGGTAGGCTCTGAAACAATACTTCCGACCGGAGTCG